GCTGAAAGGAGTTATATCTGTGCTAGGAGGATGTGCCCATAGGAGCAGCCTCTTCTAGTGAGGACAAAGCTTACACCTTCATTTCATTTTGAAATTTGCCCTCATTGTTACAAGTGAATCTCCAGCCTGAATAACAGCAGCAGAAACTTGCTGAGCCTGCAGAAGAGATACCAAGCTACAGCTTCAGTGTCTGGTTGGAAACCCTGGTGACGGATGTAGTGTGAATGGGCTGCTAACAGGTTGTGTTTTTTTAGCCTGGCTTAGACTCTTATATAAAAGGAACTGCGTTGCAGTCTCTTGCAGGAAGATTCCTTGAAACATTGTATATGGCAGTTGGGTGTTTTAATAAACAATTGGATGTAAATTGGATTTCTCTGTTCCACTATACCTTGGGTGAGTAAAGAAAAAACACTGTACAAACAGTAACATGCTGAGGAGTTGCAGTACCTGATTTGATTGACAAACAATGATAAGACAAGGGGTAACGGACACAAGCTGGAACACAGGAGGTTCCACTTAAATTTGAGAAGAAACTTCTTCTCAGTGAGGGTGACAGAGCACTGGAACAGGCTGCCCTGAAAGGTTGTGGAGTCTCCTTCTCTGGAGACATTCAAAACCCGCCTGGACGCCTTCCTGTGCAACCTCATCTAGGTGTTCCTGCTCCGGCAGGGGGATTGGACTAGATGATCTTTTGAGGTCCCTTCCAATCCCTAACATTCTGTGATTCTGTGATTCTGTGATACACAAAGGTGTCTTAAATTAGTGTTGCATTAGCAGAATCAGTCATGGGTCAGGTGAGCTTTGGCAAGTCAAGCTGTTTTCTCTAGTTCCCTTGCTGGCTTCTCAGAAGGCCTGTGTGGGGTTTCTTGCTGGAGTTGTCCATTGCTTCAGAGTTAATTTACAACATTCAAGGAAATTGAAGTCCACTGGTTTCTGTGAGAACAAAAAGAAGTGGAGGATTCAAGAAAAGTATCTTTGTGAAACAGCGTCTACTTTTGTTTTACAGTGAAACTCAGATTTATTCTCAGAGTTAAAGAAGTTGCAAAATGAGTCAAACTAGAAATCCTTGTTCCCATTCTCTTCTCTGTGATACTGATTTGCATTGACTGATTGATTTAAAATCCCAAACCATTACACTTATTTGTAGTTCATGATATATCAGCTTGTATATGGTATGGTCATATTCAGCAAAGAAAAAGATCAGCACATACACATACTTACACATACACATACACACACACAGTCTTTGCAAACAATCTTTTCTGTTTTACAGAATAGAAAATGAGAAATTGCATCTTGGTATCAATGTCAATGCAGAAAAAAGCATGAAAATATTGTAGTTGGAGAGAAATAAATGATGCTCCAGAATTCTCTTCAGTGATCTATATTCTGCTTTTCATCTTAAGCATTTTGTATCAAATTGGCAGAAACCAAACTATTAATTTTGCTGTCATTTGATAAAGCCTTACAGTACAGGCAGGCACAACAGCCTCAAAGAGTGGATTAACATATGAATGCTTAACATTACTGCAGAGGAGCAAACGATTACTCCAAGGCAGTAGTTAGCTGCAAGTACAAAGTTCACAGCAACGTTTGCTCTGATGTGCCACTGAGTGTACCCAAATATAGCTCGTGAGTTTTCATAGGACTTAAATAAGGGACAACGAAGCTCTCTGCATAAAGGAACAACTTTAAGCACTCAGCAAGGAGGGAGCACCTTAGAGGGAGTTCATGCCTAAGAAGCAGATCTAACGATCAAGGACTGGAATGAGAACTGCCCTTTGCCAAATAAAAGTCTGAATCAGTAGGCTAGATGTTCCTACACTGTGTTGCATGTCAGCCAAAGAAAAACAATCTCAACAACTGCTGTTTTGCCTACGCCCAGGATCTTTTACAAATCAGAGTAAGAGTCTTCACACAGGTGCTCCTGTCACTGGCTGGCTAGCAAGATATTGATGTGTGAAGCTGTCTCCAGCTCCCAGACCTCCCCTGCTGTTCTTCTCATGTGCCTACGGGAAATGGATTAGTCTGGGCCATGTGTTTCTGCTAAGGCCATGGGAAAAAGGTGAGGGGCATGGGGTTGTTGAGATAGGGATGTGCCTGAGATGACTGAGGCATTGTAGCCAGAGAACCAATTTGTCAAGGAGTATCTACAGAGGGGAATATATGGAGTTTTCAGTTATGGGTAGGGGATCTTAAAGAGTGATGGGACAGTGAAGCAGAATGGTGGGACTGCAGGAAGGTGAACAGAGCTGTCCTTGGGAGAAAATGGTGATAATGTTCAGGTGATGGTGTTTACAGTCCTGAATTTAGGCTTGGGGAGAATACAGAAGGCTGCTTCCAACAGTGGTACCCAACAAACGACATTTGGGAAACCATGCATTAGGCCACAGAATCAGGACTTTTCTTGTGCTTGACTTCAGACTCTTGTATTTCTTCCTGCATAATGGTCCAGTTTTAAAAGGAGGGGTGGAAGGTGCCTCTCTTTGTTATTGCAGCAATCACTTGGAAAGTGTGAATCTCCTCAGGCCAGGGAAAGATGTACAGCATTGAACCCATGCACCCTATTTCCTGGTGAGTGCTCTAAAAGGTAAATTGTACTGTTAAAGGTGAATGATAATTTATGGCCATGCTTTTCAATTTTCAGGCTGAATTAGGAGGCCAAAATCAGAGATTTCCGTTCACCTGGGCTTATGAAGTTAGAGGGTGGAATAGACCTCCTAGATTACTTTCTCTGGAGTCACCTACGTTGCAGTGAAATACATGATCACAAAGAGTTAACTGGTCGGCAGAAAGTGAATCATAAATTACACTTTGCTCCTGGCTTCTGGTTATCCTTTCAAAGATAAAAACTTTTGTCCATAAACTGGGGTAGGAAACCGTGTCATTTGTATATGCCAAATAACTTGTCTTCAGGGAAAAACAACATTTGAGGAGTTCATTATTTTTTTCAAAATATTGAAAGCCAGAACAAGCACATGGTATTGTTGTTCACAACAATAACAATCATCTTCATCAAAACCATCATCAAAAATAATAATGAGAATGATACGAACACAAGATTAGGATAATATTATTCCAAGATTAGAAAATGGCATTTCAGTACGTTCCAAATCCACTGCTTAGAGCAAGAGTACATGCCAAGGCATTCACTGGAAGACGATGGACATGCTGATCAGTTCTAATGTGCAGTGATTTCTGGAACAGCTTTTCTAAGTGAAGGTGGCAGATTAATTTGTTCCATCACTGTTCAAATTGCACAAGCAGCATAGTCACTGCCCTTGTGCCTAAACCCCAAAGATCGTCTGATTCATTTGACACTGGAAAAACATTTTAAAAGCTATTCTGGACCTCATACCTTGTTGCAGTCTGTTAAGGTGACGGATCTAAAGAATCAAAAGCATCAAAAGAAGGATGACCAGCAGGTCAGGGGAGGTGATTCTCATCCCCTACTCCACTCCTGTGAGACCCCACCTGGAGGCCTGCTTCCAGCTCTGGAGGAAAAGACATGGACCTGTTGGAGTGGGTCCAGAAGAGGGCCAGAAAAATGATCAAAGGACTGAAACACCTCTCCTGTCAAGAAAGGCTGAGAGAGTTGAGGTTGTTTAGCCTGGAGAAGAGAAAGCTACAGGGAGACCTTATTGCAGCCTTCCAGCACTTAAAGGGGGGCTGTAAGACAGATGGGGACAAACTTTTTAGCAGGGCTTATTGCAATAGTACAAGGGGTAATGGTTTTAAACTTAAAGAGGGTAGGCTCAGACTAGATATAAGGAAGACATTTTTTACCATGAGAGTGATGAGACACTAGAACATGTTGCGCAAAGAGGTAGTAGGTGCCCTATCCATGGAAACATTCAAGGTCAGGTTGGATGGGGCTCTAAGCAACCTGATCTAGTTGAAGATGCCCCTGCTCATTGCAGCAGGGTTTGGACTAGATGACTATTAAAGATCCCTTCCAACCTAAGCCATTCTATGATTCTATGATCTACCTTGAGAAGATACTCTGTGTATTACATTCCCATTGAAACTGGGTCCTGGGCAGAGGGTCTTTAAAATCAAGCCTAATATATTCAGACAATGTCATTAACATTTTTTTAATCTTAGGAGTTAAGGGATTGTAGCACATTCCCAGTTTTGAGACTTCCTGGTATATGATCTAATCTTCCTTGCTTGTCCAGCTATGCAGGTTTTAATTCTAAAATTTATTAATTTGCATTGTTTTTGAACAATCCTAGATTTGCCTTGAATCTGTTATAAATAAAAGCTGAGTCAAAAGCCAGTAATTATTAGTCACAAGTTATCCTGGCTGTGTCTTTTCTTTGGTCTTTCCTTGCTACCTTTGAGTTCACTTCTGACACACATGCACAACTATTTCAGGAGAAGGAGGTGTGTGTCCTTGTGCAAAAAGCTGGAGACGACAAGTAGTGATGCTCCTGGGCCTTTTCTGTCTGCAGTACTGGCAATGACTTAGTGGTGCAGAACAAGATAT